AATTAAGAATAACTATTAAGGAAGTTAAGCATATAATAGCATACATTGTATTTTACATCTATACTGAAGAATTGGGATCAAGTTTTTGGTGCCATTGCTAGGGATTAAAATCTTCAAGTAGTGGTATCAACTTCATAAATACTTACATACTTACATATAAAAAATATTGATTGGGATCAACCACCCACACCAATTGCATGATGATAAAATGCTAATTTTTTTATTGTTCGGTCGATGGTGCTTAGGATTTTATTGAATTAAGGAATCTTGTAGTGACACAGCTATGCAAATATTTCACATCTTAATACATAAAAGGATACCCAGGTTTGAAAACTCAATTCAAAGCTGTCAATCACTAAATTGCTCAACTCAAAACTTCATACCTTTCGTGCTTGGTGTTAGGGCCACTTGATTTGGAATGCCCTCATCTTTCCTTTCATATATTTTTTTCATATGGAGGTTTTTATTTTCTATCTTACTACTTGATGATATACTTAAATTAAAAGGCCTGAGAATAGCTTCAATTTGTCATATATGTAAATGCGCAGAGGAAACATCCACTCATCTTTTCTATGAATGTTTTTATGCCAGAGAAATTTGATCAATGCTCGGGAGGCATTTGGAGTCATATGGCCTCAAAGATGCTCTATGAAGGATTACTTGTTGGTTTGGAAAGCTAGAATCTTATTGATAAAAAAGCTCAATTACTTTCCTTTAGTTGTACTAAGGTTCATTTGGTCTGCTAGAAACAACTACAAGTATGATTGTTCTTCCCCTACTCCTACTCTCACTATTCCATATGTTCTTGCACAATTTACAAATGCTTGTAGAACTTTAAAGGTAGATTCCAATCCTCCTTTTCCAAAGAAGGGTAGGATGCCTACTTTGGTAAAGTGGTAGCCCCCTTCTTTTGGTTGGCTCAAAGTTAAACATGAAGACAGTTGGCTTTCTAATGTTTTTGGTGTTGGAGGAATATTTTGAGATCACTTGGGAATTTCTTTATGTCACTTTGCCTCACCTATTAATGTTTCATATCCAATTGAGATTGAATGTTGAGTTATCTTGCTTGCTTTACAAATTGTTGCTATCTTTAAGTTTTTATCTTTAATGGTAGAAACAGATTATATCTCTCTTTATGAAATGTTAGTTAAGGCCTCCATGCCTTAATAAAATCTTATGTGCACTTTTAATCGAATATGGGACACAATCTCTAAGCACCATCTAACAATTCAAATGAGTTTCATTTACAGGGAGGGTAACTCACCTGCGGATTGGCTGGCAATGCGTGGTGTGGCTGAGCCATTTGTTGGTTTGGAACCATCTTCCTATCTTAGTACACTTCTAAATGGTGATCTATTAGATATGTCATACATTAGAAGATAGTGTTGTCTCTAGTTTTCCTTTATACATTTTGGATACTACTAATCTTATTGCTCAAGAACATATGTTCTGAATTTTTACTGATACTCAGTCTAATGGTGGATGCTTCTGTGCAATACGGTTTTTGGGTGTCTTCTCACCCCCTGCAACTTCTTCATGATCATGACTTCCTTGAAACTCTTGATGACTGCATGCTTTCTAGGCTCCTATGGTTTATGATTAATGCTTTTCGCTTCACTATTTCCATGCTCCTATATGCTTCTTGTTTTACTATTGTGAACTGCTAGTTTCCCTATCTAAACTCTAATTTGGCTTGCTGTTGGGTTTCTTATGCAATGTTGAACATTTTTTTCGATTTTCATTGCAAATATAGTTTTTTTTTGGTATACTTTGTGTATTTTTGGGTATACTTGTATCTTCTTTTTGGTCAGTAGGTGGAGTTGTAATGATTGGAGGTGGAATCCCCTGTGTGTGAATACTATGTATTTCTTTTGGTTTTTTAGTTATGAGGATCCAACCCCCCC